GTTTTTGTGTTTTGTGTTCCTCCCTTTATAGCTCATGTATTATGTATCTGTTGAAATTATTGTTATTAGTAGTAGGATCGCAATTTAATAGTCAAATGGCCGTGATCAGACTGGCAGTACAGACGCTGCTGGACTCATCCAGTCCGCCGCGGGTGATCAGCGAATATAACGCGCTGCCTGACACTCTCGCTAAAAGGAAATAAATTGTTTTCTTATTCTGAATATAATGTCATGCCTTTATTCTTGTGTATGATTGGTGTTTTGGGTACTGTTGTCGCGATTAAACCAGTCAAATGGCCGTGATCCGACTGGCAGCTTGCAGACGCTTGCTGGACGCTCATCCAGCCAGCCGCTGCTAATCAGGGAATATAACGCGTTGCCTGACACTCTCGCTAAAAGGAAATAAATTGTTTTCTTATTATGAATATAATGTCATGCCTTTATTCTTGTGTATGATTGGTGTTTTGGGTACTGTTGTCCCGATTAAACCAGTCAAATGGCCGTGATCCGACTGGCAGCTTACAGACGCTCATCCAGTCAGCCGAGTCTGAGACTGCGAGTCTAACGCGTCGCCTGACACTCTCTCTAAAAGGAAATAAATTTTTTTCTTATTATGAATATAATGTCATGCCTTTATTCTTGTGTATGATTGGTGTTTTGGGTACTGTTGTCGCGATTAAACCAGTCAAATGGCCGTGATCCGACTGGCAGCTTGCAGACGCTTGCTGGACGCTCATCCAGCCAGCCGCTGCTCATCAGCGAATATGACGCGTTGCCTGACACTCTCGCTAAAAGGAAATAAATTGTTTTCTTATTATGAATATAATGTCATAATGTATAATGTATAATGTGCCCACGGCCATTTGACTGGTTTAATCGGGATAAACGGCCCCAAAACACCAATCATACACAAGAATAAAGGCATGACATTATATTCATAATAAGAAAACAATTTATTTCCTTTTAGAGAGAGTGTCAGGCAACGCGTTATATTCCCTGATGAGCAGCGGCTGGCTGGATGAGCGTCCAGCAAGCGTCTGCAAGCTGCCAGTCGGATCACGGCCATTTGACTGGTTTAATCGCGACAACAGTACCCAAAACACCAATCATACACAAGAATAAAGGCATGACATTATATTCATAATAAGAAAACAATTTATTTCCTTTTAGCGAGAGTGTCAGGCAACGCGTTATATTCGCTGTCAGCGGCGGCTGGCTGGATGAGCGTCCAGCAAGCGTCTGCAAGCTGCCAGTCGGATCACGGCCATTTGACTGGTTTAATCGCGACAACAGTACCCAAAACACCAATCATACACAAGAATAAAGGCATGACATTATATTCATTATAAGAAAACAATTTATTTCCTTTTAGCGAGAGTGTCAGGCAACGCGTTATATTCCCTGATCAGCAGCGGCTGGCTGGATGAGCGTCCAGCAAGCGTCTGCAAGCTGCCAGTCGGATCACGGCCATTTGACTGGTTTAATCGCGACAACAGTACCCAAAACACCAATCATACACAAGAATAAAGGCATGACATTATATTCATTATAAGAAAACAATTTATTTCCTTTTAGCGAGAGTGTCAGGCAACGCGTTATATTCGCTGATCACCCGCGGCGGACTGGATGAGTCCAGCAGCGTCTGTACTGCCAGTCTGATCACGGCCATTTGACTATTAAATTGCGATCCTACTACTAATAACAATAATTTCAACAGATACATAATAAATGAGCTATAAAGGGAGGAACACAAAACACAAAAACTGTCAAAAATCAATGGTTTCTGAAACTAGACTGACAGACAACCACTGGCAGCTGCCAGTCAGCCACTGGCAGCGACTGGCAGCTGCCAGTCAGCCACTGGCAGCGACTGGCAGCTGCCAGTCAGCCACTGGCAGCTGCCAGTCAGTCACGTGACCTGCCAGTGGCAGCTCCTGCCAGCCAGTTGAAGATTGAACCCCCACTCTATTTGACTGTAACCTAACTCAATTGACATCAATGAATAATTCGCACTCGAATCTCATTACAAATGTTTCATATTTCTTTAGGAATTATTCTAATATATTTAGCTTACGAAGGCCTAGTTTAGACTTAGGCTATGCTAATACATCCTTAATCCTTCTTTAATAGCTCCGCGTGCACTGCAGGTTTGATAGCCCACCAACAGCAGCAGTGTTTAGAACAATTTTGAGCTACAGCCACTCAACTGAATTTAAAGGGCGCAAATGGCTCTCAGTCCTCCGAATGTCAGCCTCACTGGTTTTCAAGGGCATCGTACTGATGGAGATTTGGTTAAACGGAGAGGAGGGGGCCTTCAGTGCGGGTCATGACGTCACCATGTCCCGATGTAATCCTCTCGCGCTTGAGTCCTATCAGCAGAGGAGGGCGAGCGCGCGGGGACGCGAGGAAGCACTAATCTCTTCAGAAGGGATCAGCGCAACTAAGGCGCAAACGAGACCCTTGAACACTGCAGCAGAAGTCGATTACGATGAAAACCTGGATACAATCAGTGTGTTTCAGCGATAAAAGACAGACGTGACCTCATTGCTCGTTGCGGGATGCAGGAGGGATACGGTGGCAGCTCAAAAGATGCTCGACGGAGAAAATGGAGCATCGTGTTTACAGGGACTGTAGTGATGTTTCAGTCATTTTGCTTGTTTTGGCGGTGATATTATTTTGAATAAGGTTGGTTGACAGCTTTTTGAAAAACAGTTGATTGTTTTTTTTGTTAGATTTTAAAAGTGTGTTGTTTACACTTGATGTAGTCCGAGGGATGCGCTAGTGCAGAGGTCAGCAAAATGAGTGAGAATCATAACAATGCGCGCCCTTCGGACGGATACTAGCCTATCTTCTTCATTGTATTCTGTCGCCTGCAATGCAATTCCTTGGTTTATTCGACACCGATTCATTCTTGATAATGCTTTATTTGGGGCATCGACATCCTTTTTCAATTCCTAACCGTACTGCCACTGGCACACAAATCCCAGTGACTCAAAAGAAGGAGGACAATAGCCATGGCTGCTTGAATTGAGGCTGCAGAATCATATAGGCTACAGACTCCCAGAGCAGCTCTTAAAGGGAGTGAATATAGGCCAATGGTTGGCCTGGTCTGCGCAATATAAGCTATCATTGGATATTTTACTGGTTCACGCGATATTGAAATAGAACACATTATAGTAACATTATTGTGATTATTATTTTGACGTTTTTGTCGTCTGTTTGTTGTCAAACCGCATTACGCCATCCCTCTTTGCGGTACTCTTTGATGAGGAGCCTGCTCTGGTGTGCGCGCGTCATGGAGGGTGGTGACATGGGCCCGCCACTCTGCGTGTTCACGGCGGACCTTGATTTAATATCCATACAATTAAGGCACGCGGTGAATGCCAAGAGAGGGGCCTTAACACGGCAAATCTGTCTCGTTTATAAAAATGAGCAGCAGCACGAGTGATGCGCAGATCCGGAGTGAAGAATGCACGGTTATTCTCTCGTAAAGTCACAGAGCTAAACAGGAACTGAGGCCGCTTGGGTTGCTGGCGCATGATAGGAATATTAATTTTGGGAGCTGACAGGAATGTGAAATTTCTCTTCTAATTCATAATAGAATACCGTTTTATTTTGAATTTCACCAAGTCTATTTGCTACCAATGTCTTCTTTATAATAGTAAAATTTAACACAGTTCAATTATTAGATTCATTTGATATGGATTTGCTGATGCAGACATTATTGCTCGAAGGAGCAATAGGCACAAATATTCAGAACATCAGATAATGGTTTCTGTGGACATTTGGTTCCCATTGCAACTCAGAAAACGCTGCAAAACCGAAGTCAATGATCCAAGTCAATATTCTAGCCTGTAAAAGAAAGGCGAATCTGTTCAATACTACCTGCATCATCATGTTTTGTGATCCCTATTTGGTCTTATTGGTAATGGTTTAAAAACAAACACAGGCCTCTCTGATTTTGTAATGGAGTGCACCTGCATTTAACTGAAATATAGGAATGTTTAGATAAAAAATACTGCAAAACATCAACTTAAAAACAGGAAGACATTATTGTGAATAACATTTAGCGCAGGATTTATTGTTTTCAAAATGCACATCTTCTACCAAGACTTGTCACTTCCTTCCATGCTTTTTTGTTTGCCTGTCAATAAACCCTTATTAAACCCTGTCACCTGTCTAGAAATTTTGCTTCTATCCCAGAACTTCGGATAATCATCCTCTTGTAACTATGACGCGCTGGATGAGTACAACAATATGGCAGCCAATCAATTGAGATGGTTATCTGATTCTAACTTCCAGCAGTTTCAATGATAAATTCAACACATTTTAATGTTCTTCATACAACCTAAAGCAAATCATACCGCTATGTGCCACACATGCCAAAGACCTAAGAGTTTGACCACAACAGATACTCTCATTGGCCTTTTACTTGAATTACAGGTGTTAAATCTCCGCAGTCTGAGGAAGTGCCAGATGTGCATGAATAAAATGGGCTACCAATTTTACACCATTCAATCTTTACTGTAAGGCTTACAGCACAATGCTTGTATAAACACTACTCACTCTCTTCAAGGCAAAGTAGGAGTGTGTAAAATATTCTTCGCATTGATAACTGGATGAATTTGGATGACAAATATGAACCATTTTAAAATTTGGGCAAAACAAACATTTATAATGCATTGTTGAATATATCGACATCATGAGGGGATTACGGTTTTTAAACATTTGTTATAATTAGCTCTATTTGTAAACTTATTTTACAGTTTTCAAAAGGGACAGTGGCAAAAATATATATCCTGGGTTATTTTGAGATAAAAAAAAAAAATATATATATGTCCATCTTTTTAAAGTTAAGCACATTTATCATGTCTTCGTCAAAGGTGCTTTCTTAACTTTAAATGCGTTCAGGTGGGTGTGAGCAGGTGAACGATTGATACAGTCCATCTTTGAGCAAAAACAATTAGCAGAGCAACAAAAGCCAGTAAAAAGAACACCAATTACACCATATAATATTATTTTAATAATGAGCATGATCAAATCTAAGAACGTGATAGATAGTGACCTTCCAATACAATGCATATTCATTTCAGGGGTGACTTAAATGTTTGTCTTGTAACTCTTTTTTAATATTTTTAGTATTTCATATATTTTCCATGAATCTTTTGTTATATGACTATAGAAATCTGAAACCCTCACACGGTTCAAGTCCGCTCTCCCACACACAAACACACAAAACAGCAAGCAGGTCCTAAAAAAATCACGCACAGAAACCATATACTCTTTTTTTGTTTTTTCTTACTTTTAACAGTAAATCAGTAACATTAATTTTCAGGTTACACGTTTTGAGGCGTTCTTCGTTATTGTTATAATTATATGATCCTACGTTAAAGCTTAGCAATATACTGAGGACATAGGGGAGGAAAAAGCGATAAAATGAAATCTGTTAAGAAAGGACAAGGAAAAAAAAAAAAAGGTGATGCATCTAAAGTGACTTCAAATAATAAAGCAGTGAATTGCTACATCTCTCAGATTGGCTTAAAGAAACAGCGACCTCTGCTGGGCGGGGTTGGAACAGTAAGTAGTTACATTTCTGCTCTTTAAACATTAAGCATGAATAGGAACAGAGTCTGAGCACCGGGCTCTGAACCATAATGAAAACATTAGTTTTACTACTTTTTTTTAGTCCAGCCAGTGACAATGTTGACTTCCCTTGGTTAAGGATGCATGGGATGTCGTCTCCCTGATAATGCTGTTTCAATTGAGGTATAGAACAGCCATTATTAAACGGTTTCCGTAGCTTTAAAATGTTAAGGCTCCAAGCAGGAAAAACAGAAGAAAAAAGAAAACGTGACATAAGTGGCTCGTCACTGAAAAAAAAGGAAAGAAAAAAAAAAGTCAAGTGTTACATAATTCAAAAATATAATTTTTTTTTATAACATCATCTCATGTCAAGACATTTCATTGTCCCTTCTACGGAGTTGCACGATTCTCCACAAATGGGTTTAAACCATTCTGGATCTACAGAATGTAAAACTGGCCCGTTACAGTTACTGATGCTGGAGATGCCCCTCCCCCCTGACCAGAACGGAGTCTGAACACATCCCCTCCCACCCCCACACATACACACTTCTGCCATATCACATGACTGACATACACTCTACCACCATCCCTGATACACACACATACATACAAGTGTCACAGAGTTCACTACCCACTCATGATGAGGAGCAGTGGGGCTAGAGAAACAAACATTTAGGATGAAATAATAGACAGTGTGTACAGATATCAGTTGGTCAAAGGGGGGAGGGAGGTGCATGAAAACAACACCAAATGATAGAAAAAAAAAAAAAAAAGAGAAAGAAAAAAAGAAATCGAAATGATGACGCGACATTGAGAGGTGCTAATCGACTTCAGCCCCCACAGGTAAAGCAGGAGGCGCAGAGGCTCGAGTCTGACACTGGCTGAAGTCACCAGAATTAAATAGAAAAACATAATGATTGTTTATTTTTTAAATTTCATCTTGTGTCCTCTTTAAATTTCATTTTTAAATGGTCAGTCCTAAAACAACTGCTCATCAGCTGTAGGGGGCAGCCTTCTATTGTTTATTTCGGTTCTGGCGTTCCTGTGGGAGAGAGAGAGATATATAAAGAGAGAGAGAGAGAGAGAGAGAGAGAGAGAGAGAGAGAGAAATGGAGGGAGGTCACTTTGATGTACACAACTTTATTTCAAAATACTACCACTGCAATCAAGAAATCAAAAATTTCTCAAACTGTTTTTTTTTTTCTTTCTCACACAGCAAAAAATTTGACCAATTTCCATTCATTTTCCAGTTCTTCATCATTTGGTTATTTAAAAAGACTTACAGTCAATTAGGCAATTTAACTTTAACTTACAATTTAGGTAACTAAATTAATAGATGTATTTAACAGGGTTTTTTTATTATTATTTTTTTTTAATCAAATTTGAGGCTTCTAACCCTAATATGAAATTTAAACAATTTTATATAAAATGATAATACTCCCATTTCAGCCTGATTTTTTTTGGATAAAAAAAATTTATATTATAATTATCCAAAAAAATGGATAATTATAATATAAATATCTTATGTATTCCTAATTTTTTAGATTGTACATTAACATATTTTCGATCCACCGGCTGAGTGAAAATGCAATGCCTCTATTAAACACTGTATTCAATGCAGCAAGTTTGCAGGTTTGATTGTCATATTTCATTAACAGTAAATCAATGAGCCATCGCTTAGGTAAAAATGTGCGAGCCAGTAGAACATGCATCAATGCTGTGTTTTTAGTTTTAAACATGCAGTGCTTTTAATTAAATCATAGCCTTTTTGAAGTTAAATAAACTTTTATAAACATTTGACTTTTCTAAAATAAATTAAAAAGGAAAGCTTACTTGATCCAGTCGGGATCGGCTCTGGAGAGGAGCAGGCTCTAGGTTCTGTCAATGGAGATGAAAGAGAGTGTTTCAAATCAATAATCCTTTGAAACAAATCAAAAACATCAGCACCTTGTCTTCACTAAATTCTAGGAGAATAACGATACCCTCAAGTCACGATTCGATACATATAATACAAAAAAATATAAACAAATTGCATACATACAAAAAAATACTGTTGATTAAAATGCTACATTTGAATATTACATTGGGACTGGAAATGAATAGCCTTAGACTTGGTGCTGGTAACCCAATGCACAAGACAATAGTAATACCAGAATAAAAATATTAATGATTCTGAAGCTGAAAATATAGAATTATATTAAATGAATATGCTTGCACGGTCACTGACTAGATATTTAATATAGTGTAGGCCACTTTTTACTGGTAACATAACACATTTAGCATTATCAGGACACACAAATATTCCCCCATTGCATTACTGTACATTATATAGTAGTTTAATGTAGTACTGACACTTGAATTTTGATTTTTGTGTTATATACACACAATACATAATGTCACCATTCACGATACTGTTGCATATTTGTATTGCAAAATATTGAGACAATATATGGCTACACCCCTACTAAATAGAATTCTCAACAAAAAACAACCAAATTTGATTGTCTTATCCATCCATAACCTGTCAAAAACAGAAATAATTTACAGAGAATAAAATGTTTTAAATAATAAAATCACATTTAAAATGAGCAAACAGAGTGGGGCCAGATTAAGCCAAATTCTTACTGTCTCCAAATGGCTGACTAATAAAATTCAATTTATTTGCAGCATGAAATTCGACTAAAGCTGTAGTAGAAGCACAGTATTAAACACCACCTCTGGACAAAGCATCAAAGACAGAATAATGAAAAGGCCAAAGCAATGAGCATCAACCATTCAAAAAGAACCAAGATGTGATCTACGGCACCTATAAACAGCTGTAACCTTTACATAGGAAGTTTCTGTGACATGAACATTAGCCTGAACCCATCACATGCAGTTCAAAGTTCTTTGGTTAATCGCTGCTTATGGTCATTCACCTCAACAGGGTCTATATAGAAATATTTTCCTTCAGTATACACATCTCTAAAGCATAAAAGACAATAACATCAATTAAAAAAAAAACAAAAAAAAAAACAATCTGCATCAATATTAGTACCCATGTAAGTGCTAAACAATGCAGCTGTTAAATACTCTTAAAAAAAAAACCCAGCTGAATTTTCAAGATGAAAGCATACACATTACCTTTCTTACCACCTCTTCCTCCTCCTGCCGTTTCTCGTAGTGTGAGAAGTCATCGAAGATAGAGGTGGTGTGTTTGTAGGTGGCGATGATCTTCAGCACCTGCTTGGCCTTCTCCAGAGGCACCTCCTGCGTGTCACGGGAGTTGGTCACGGGCTTGTTGTCATTGTTCTCCAGGCGGATGTGCCTGAGCTGGCTGTTGGGCACGTCTTTAACAAACAGCCAGTCCACGTCGAATTTGCCCTTCCATTTGTCCTGCGCCCAAACACCCGCGCTGGTGCCGTAGTCTACAGGCGAGCGCATCTCCGCCACGCCGCAGAAGTGTCCGCTGCCATTGACGCTGAAAAGCAGGTAGACGGGACCTTTGCCGTTGATGGCCCGAAAGGCAGAATCTAGCCGCTTGTTACCATGTTCCGTGCTGCACCAGATGGAGTACTTGATGGAGCGGTGGATGTCGTCCTCAGAGTAGCTCTTAATGATGAACACCCGGCCGTTTTTCAGGTTCCAGTCGAAGTCCTTGGGGTTGTAGCTGTGCGCCGCACGCAGCTTTTCCAGGACCGGATGGGACTCGCCGCCACCAGAGCCTGGGAGGCCGCCTCCGCCGCCGTTGCCGATCCCTCCGCCGCTCGAGGAGCCGCTGCTGTCCACGCTGCCACCCCCGCCATACCCGGGGTTGCGGTTACGCGGGGCAACCCACCGGGTTTGAGGGGGAGGAGCAGGGTTGTGGTTCTGGTAAGGCTGTGGAGGGGGCGGACCCTGCATCGCCATCTGCTGGGCAAGCGATTGGGCATGGGAAGGCATGGGGGGCTGAGGTGGGGGCGGCAGCCCGTGAGGGTGAGGTGGTAGGTGACCCTGGGAGTGGAGGGGAGGCTGCTGGTGGTGGGGCGGTAGTGGCGAGGCCACTTTAGTCACAGGCCCCTTATTATCCCAAGTGCCAATGTCCATGTTGTGTTTGATGGGCGGCGGGGGCAGGGTGCCTCCAGCCATGGGCATCCCTGGCTTGCTCTTTATCTTCAGCTGCTGAGGCTTGGCTGGTTTGCTTGCGATGGCTGCCCAGGACGTGGGTTTGTTGGGCGGCAGCCCGATAGGAGTACCACCATTACCCGTGGCCACCGCCGCCACTGGCCCACCTCCGATAACAGAGCCCACCGTCTTCACTCCAGAACCACCTCCAGTCACGTCGCCGCCAATCTTCAGCCCCACCATGCCCTGCTCTAAGCTATTCATACCTGGCGCCTTATTCAAGGTGTCGCTGGGGAAGCCCGTCTGCCCATCAGGCACTAGTGTGCCACCTAAAGAACTAGGTGGGTAACTGTAACTGCCCCCGTATGCAGAACTCTGAGTCTGCTGACCCTGGGAGCCGCTCGTACCCCAGGCGGAAAACGCGGGATTTTCAGGGAAAAAGTTAAAGCGGTGTGGATAGATGCTACTGCCCAGACCCCCAGGCTGTCCAAACACAGTGTCATGCATGAAGTGATGGTCTCCATTGCTAAGAGGGGCGTACGGAGTGAGGTACGGGATCGGCGGGTCTCCGCCGGTGGACCAGGGTGCCTCGCTGAGGGGGTACGGGAACCCAATCGAGGGGGCATAGTAGCTAGACAGGTATGGGTCGGTCATGGATTGGTAACTGTTATTCTGGGGGAATACCAGAAATGCATGTTAGAACTTATAACGACAAAATACTAAATATACTCATTTCACATGACAAGTTATTTTAGAATTATACATTGGTGAAAGCACTGTGCTGATTTTACTTGCATAATGCATTAAATATCACATATTATTTTTAATATCTAAACATCCTTAAAATAAGACACATTAATGGACTATCAAAATTGTGTAAAATAATGAGACTTGTTTTTAGAGACTGCATGTTAAAATAAAATATTTTTCTCATTTTCATACCCTAAGAAAAACAGACTTTTCTCACCGGATTAGACTGGCCAGTGAGGTATGGTTCAAAGTCATTGTCGTGGACCGTTTCCTTCTGATGGAGAGAGCCATTTTGCACTAAAAAAAAGACAATATTTAACATCAGGATTACTTTTCATTTTACCACATCTGATAATAAACCCAAACCATGAGCTAAACTCAACAGCCCTCTCTTTCCTGTGAAAAATATCACTTAACCAATGCTGCTATGCCATTCACATTTTAGATCTTTAACAAATGATAAATAACTAGTAATATGCATTTCACCACACACTGATCTCATTGACTCATTCACCACATGTTCTGTCTGAGTACCACAATACTTCAGACATACAGTGATGGATGAAAAGGACCATCTAAAAATCACCCATGTCCAAAAGACACAACTACAGTAGTTAATGCCACAAAGTTATGAAGCATTATCTAATAAATGTGCTCAAAAGCCAAGCTCTCAGTGCCAATAGATGTGTCGGGGTAGTGTTAATCCAACAGGAGCAGTTCTGGACTCCAGGAGGAGCTATATGCCCCATCAGGTGATTGAATGAGCTCTCAGACAACATTTGGATGATGTATGAGAAACACACCAACCAGGCTAGACTTGATACAAGTCACAGAGAAAGAATGCCCAAATTTTACTTAACAGACCATAGCTAAGAGCATCTACTATGGTGAAATTATATGTGATTTAATGAGAAACAATATCCTGGCCATTAAATAAATAAATAAATCTGTATAGACATAACTTACCTTTAGCGTCTTGCCCTTTGGATGTCTTCTCATTCAGTAAGTGATCAGAGGTGGATAGAAACAACAAGATAAAAAATTAACACATTTGAATCGCAGTTTTAAACACAAGCTCTACCTGCTTAACATGTAAATACTTCATGCTCTTAATCTACATCGACTCCATCAGAGCATCATCAATAAATCAATGCACAATCAGGGGTCGCTCGACACTCGTTATTATTATTTTTTTTAAAACGGGGGGCTAACATTGACATTTATTTAGTCAATCAAGTAATACACATTCACTCGGACAGCTTAAGATTCCGTCGACCACGCAGATCAGCCCAAGTCCAGAGGAAACTGGTTATAATTCTCGGAAGCTGATGAGAGATTGTGTAGTTAAATGAATTAAGGAATTAAGGAAAGGTCTGTTTGGACAGAGGAAACGCGATGTAATATTCAATTAAACGAGTGGAAAAAATGCTAACTCGTTAGCCATCGCGCTGGTGTGAAGCAAAGAGAGGCTGATGCCCGTCATGTCTCCGCAGAAGCGGCGGAGGCTGCACGCGCATTCCCTGCTCCTCCTAAAGGCCTTAGCGACGCCGTGCCACTCCAACCTACCTGTGGGTCAATACTGGTGGTAGACATAATTCATCAAGAGGGCCTCTTTAGATTCAGCAAGAGTCTTGCAAAGAAAAACTGAACCAGCAGCGAAGGTGCACGGCGTAACCCGAAGCCCGTGGGTTCCTCTCGGCTCCGTGCAGGCTGAACTGCGCTTTTTTTCAGCAAGTTCCACGACTTGATTCTGGCGATCCGGTCCTCTCGAGCGCACTAAAAGTCCAGCCTGAGGATGATTCCGAGAGTATTAGAGGCTCTGCGGGTTTGAGGTTTAATCCAATGCTGTCACAATGCTGTAAATTAATTTCAAAGTGTGTATATATATTTTTTTCCTCTTCCCAGCCCGCAGTTATTGTGCACCTCTGTTCACTTCCGCCCAATGGCCGCTCCATCCGGGATCTGCGCGGAGGGACTGACGCCACATGGACCGGGTGGCCATCAACCTGAGAAAATTGGGGGGAAAGTTATAATTGCACACATATTATATATTTTTTTTTATTTTTTTAAAAAAATTTCTATCTAATAATTACATCAATAGCGAAGATTAGTATATTTATGAAGTGCATTTTTTTTTGCCATCGACATTGACAGTATATGTATCTTTATTATTAAGGTTCGGTCAAGACCCAAGGGACTGCCCTATTGTAATTGTTAGTTTACTTTATTTTTATCATCATCATAATCATCATCATCATTATTATTATTCCTGAGTGGTAGTCGATGGCAGCCCTATAAACCATAGGAAATTTATTCAATTTCACACAGTGATGGTATGAATAGTAATAGCATAATTATGTTTGTAATAAATATTTAAAATAAAAAAAATAAATAAAAACTAGCTGCTTCCTCCACTTAATCAAAGAAATATTACTTCACATTCATTCCTCAGTCACACCATATTCATTTATTATAGGATTGTTGCATGGCTTTTGTTTAATGTGGACAAAACAAGTGACTGTCATAAAACAATAATAATAATAATAATAATAATAATAATAATAATAATAATAAATATTAAAAATAATAAAAAATGGGGTTTTAATTAATATTACTTTAATGAATTCTATAGTGGACTTTAGATGGTCTGTTCCTTTTTTTCATGAATTCTTAATTATGTCCAAAGTTGTCTAAAATAGCTACTTGAGGATTTCACATCAGATGTTGATGTCAGGCTTGATGTCTTTTTCTCCAAGCCACATTAGACCATTAGACTGTGAAGACCCTTGTTTATAGTTCATTTTGGTTTATAACATGTCACCACTTACTTTTACCGTGTACATTTTCACAGTTAAAGAATGCCATTAACAAGCACTGAGCACTCTTTTATCGCAGTGAAACCTCATGCTGATAAAGGGCATTCAGGGTAGCTAATTGATATTTAGATAGCTATTGATCTTAGTCGGAGATGGGTGGGATGGGGTTCTTTCTGTTTAGGCTAATCCGTTTGCAGTATCTGGAACCCCAAAGGGAGCAGCTCTGTTTCAACATGACACCCATTTCACACAGATAACATAAAATACTACACGATTTATACTCGATTAGATATTTTAGTTAAATTTCTTACACGTTTAATCAGCCTATATGTGTTTCCATTTTGAAAGTGTTATAGAGACAGAGAGCATGTTGGATTTGGATGCTGATGGCTATAATAAATTATTGTATCATATGGGATGAGTATGGGAAGTGTGCTTGTTTATCAAGATCATTGATGCTTTTATAGTTCTTTGGGGGCATATAGGCTACAATACAGCAAGCAGTTGCCACTTATACAGGTTCAAACACAGCTTGCGTTTTTCTAATTTTAACCACAAGGTGTCAGTCTAATTTGAGTCGCATTGAGGAATTTCTTCAATTACATATCAAAACATGCGTCTACTTCACGCATTGTTTACACGGAGCGTGTAAACAAAAACTGCATAAAACTGCATTATAAACAATGCGTGAAGTAGACGCGCGAGAGATCACTTCCGGCGTAACGTCAGGAGACGGTTCAGTACGGTTCAGTTGGACATCTGATTCAGATCAGTTCGACGGCTGTTAAGAGGTAAAAACTATAAATACTGTTCGTTTTCTCACACAAACCGCTTGTTTCGTGTCTTAGGCCATCAGTGTGTACATTCACGAGTCATTAAATCATGTTTAATTTTGACTTCTCTGTGCATGCTCTTTGAGGTGGACCCCCTAAAACTGCATTATAGGACTGACAGACAACAACGGTTTGACCAAAAAATGTCAAAATTGAAAATGCTGTGGAAACAAAGACACCTACATCTTGGATGCCCTTGAGGTAAGCTAAAACATATCAAAAATTTATTTCAAAGTGAACTATCCTTTTAATCTAGGGTGGCTAACATAGGCTACCTGTTTTCTCAGGACATGTCCTGTTTTCACGTCCTGTTCTTGCTGTTTTTTATAAAGTGAGGAAAATGTCCTGGTTTTCAAAAAACTGCTGGAAAGATCAGCTCTACAGCAAAATATAGATGGGCAAACAAGGAGGATGAGAAAGAAAAAAAGGATAAAGAGGAAGAAAACTAAAGATATAAATATATTTTGTTAGTTCGTTTTTGTAAAATTGTGAGAGATATTTTTGTTCAATTTGGAGGTATTTCTTTTAGTTATTTATTATTTATATCTTTATTTTTCTAATACAGAAGAGGCATTATTTCTATCATTATTTTTGAATCCTGTCATAATAAAACATGTTGAGTAACCTCTGAGAAGCCTATCTGAATTTGCGCCTTGTAATATAATGATTTTCTATCCAAACAGAGGAGCCATAGTACTTTAAAAGTATGAAAAATTAATAAGGAATCTTTCAGTAAACTTCGAGTATCTATTTTTCCGGGCAGAGTGTCCTGGTTTTTGATAATCAAAATATGTTCACCCTACCTTAATCAAAGCGTTGTGTTTTTTTCATTCAAAATGTGGTGTTTTTAATAAAATATTATTAAGATATGTTCTACATGTATAATATAAGAAATCAAAAAAATGATACAACTCACTACAGTCAGCATTCAAAATACAGGATTCAGTAAATATTTTATTATTTACTTTTACAAAATGAGGTTTGATGTTCTATGTGCTACAACGTTTTTCTTTGGGCCACTGATACAGACCACTACATGCATTTATTATAATTGCTCTCTCTCCCATACTGACACAAATATGTCCTGTGTTACTGGTAGTAAAGGAGACATAATATTGATCATTAAAAAATAAACAGTATTTTGCTCTGTAGGCTACTACATATCTGCCAACTCTCACTCTTGACCTTGGCCGTAAGACTCATTTGATTGGTTTCACACGCTCACATGCCACACGCTAGTGTTAACCAGGTGTTCTGCCGGTCGTGCTAAATTCCAGTAGCACCTCATTGCAGGACATGAGATCCAGGGGGCGGAGTTGGATCCAGATAAGGGGTGGAGATGGTTAGGATTAGGGGTGGGGTTAGGGATCAGGGGGCAGAGATGGGTAGGCTTGGATATGTGTAAGGTGAAATTCGAGAAGGGGCGAAATTCGGTCGAAATCTCGAATTTTGACCCCCGCCAAATTATTTTGTGGGGGAGGGGTAGGATTAGGGAATTGAAGTCAGTACCTGATTAGGCAATCAGGGGGTCAAAATTCGACACAACACCTGTTGGTTATATGCCAGAAAGATTTTATCTATGGATATACCTGTTGAGCCACTCGTGATCGACTAGTTATGCCGCAAATTAGTTAAAATCTCCCGGAATCTAAAGCGAATGTGTACGCGAGGCAGAGACTGTGCTCCAAACCGTGTTGCGCCGCGCACGCACGGCAGAGATGGAAAGCGAACAATAGATCTTGCATGTGCATGTGCAGAGAGCATCCTAATCTAGAAACAGGACAACCCCAACACACACACACCGTTGGCGAAGTCTCACTCCAAGCTAAACTCAAAAGTTGGCAGCTATGGTAACGTTATTAGTCTAAAACAAGTGCATGTAAAACAATTCATTCTTCTTCATTTAATCTTCAACATTAAACCATTGAAGTTAAAGAAATCTCTGCATTGTTTAAAGTCCTCTGATTTAAACAAAAATGTACAACATTAGAAGTCACAGATTTAACAGATTCAAAATAAAAAAGACAGAATTGCCAGAGGTAGCAAGAAGTCAGTCATGAAAATGTTTTACAGAAAAATCAGCTCCTAAAAAAAAATACAATAAATATGTAAGCATAAAATCGTGTGGGGTTAATGTCTGTATGCTTTGGCTTGGATAGCTATACAGATGCCTTGTGTCTTGTAGTTCCAAGGTGTTGAAAGGGGTTGAAAGTTTCAAGAAGTTTGTAAGGGCAGAGTTTGGGTGCATCAGTTTTATTTTCGAAATTTTTGTGTATGATTATGTTTATACATATATAAATATTTAAAATCCATCTGAACTGGTTTCTGTTTTCACTACTTTCAAAGCTTGAAGTCCTTTCCTGCTATCTCTTTCCCCTCTCAATGTTGACATCTGGACACTGTCACTTATACAAATCTGAAAAGCAACACAAAGCAGATACAAAATTAGATTCATCGGTTGTTTAGGAAGACGAATAAGCGAAACATTATCCAAAATGACTTAATACACTTTTTTCAAGGTAAAAGACAAGGAAATGTATTTTACAAACATGTGTCTTCCTCTTCACTGAAGATGCTGACGGTATAGCAGGCAAATACAAATCCCAAGGCCTACATGTACAAACAAACAAACAAAGTAACAGATTAAGTCGTATACAAGTCACCGTGAATTTTTGTATTGTAGTATATGAATGTATCACAGAATCTTAAAGCTGAAGTATGCCATTTTTTAGTAGTTCTGTATGTTATTTTGTTAGTTATCAAAAACTTATGTCTGACAACAACATTGTCACAACCAAAGATTGGAGCGGAAACCTGTTTGAAAACAATCATTATTTCTGCACACTTCAGCTTTAACAACTTTAAGTTTTAGGTTCTTACAGAAATGAACAGTTGGAGGGCACTGTGCATAACCTCGATGTACTGATACTCTAACAAGCAGCTTAGTTCGGAGACAAAAGCAGGACTGTCCAAATGCTGCCATCTAGTGGTCGGGAGGTTTCTGTTCCCACAGCCCGGACCATTGTCCTTCCACCATGAACGATGAGATGAAAGTCCCAGTGACATATAATCGCTGTCCTATAAAAGTAGAGCACAGTAATGCCTTAACACTTTGGATTTCAGTTGCATGGCTTTGTAAACATTACTGACTTTAATTATACTGAGGAACAGTGCACTGTCAATTTAAAACTTTGTTCAATCCCATCATTTAGCTTTGGTTTGTAGAGATGATATCATTTTATACCAATGGCATGAATGTATGTGAACTTGGTCTCACTAGACTGTATGAGCAGTTTCATTTAAATTTGGCTCTTTACCTTTGACAGCCCTCCGAGGTCTAGATAAAGGCAACAGATAAAGATATTCCAAGTCACCCAAAACATGGTCCAGACTATATACTAAAAGAAAAGGGAAGGACACATAATGGTCATCAGAGATATAACAGTAAAAAAATCACTACCATACAGAAGCATTTTTTAACACATTTTTTTTAAATCTGCATTTATTTAATCAAAATTAAAGTAAAAACAGAAATATTATGTTATATTATCACAATTAACTGTAATAATTATATTAATTATTTTTACATTTTTTCCAATGTAATTTATTCCTGTAATGACAAAGCTGAATTTTCAGCATCATTACTCCAGTCTACAGACAGAGTCACACGATCCTTCAGAAATAATTCTAATACGCTGATTTGGTGATTAAGAAACATTTATAATATTGTCTGGAAACATACATTTTTACATCAAAATAACAGTATTTATTTTAAACATTATAAACATCTTTACTGTCACTTTTGATTAATTGAATGCATCATACTGAATACGCAGTATATTTCTTTGTTTATTTTTCATAAATACATAAAAAATATTATTACAATTAAATTAATCATATGAAACTATTCAACAATAAGTTATTTAAGGTTTAAGAAATGAATGTACGTATTTTTGTCATGTTATATATATATATATATATATAATATCAGTATTTTATAAATAATATTTATAACATTACAATTATTTTTGTTTTTTTATACACACTTTAAACACTATTTAACGTACTTATTAGGTTCAAAAGTAAAAAAAAATATAGATAAATACTGTACACACCAAAACTACATAACGGGGCTTATACTGGACTGTCCCAAACAAGCCCAATATCACCACAATGATGTGCAAGAAGTTGACAAGGATAGGCGCCCACTGGTAACCTAGAAAATCAAACACCTGTCTCTCCACAGCAGTGATCTAGGGAGAGAAAGACAGAGTATGATATGAACAAGATCTCTACACACTGTGAAAATAATAACAACACCAGCTACTTTGCATCTACACGAAAAGGAAACACCGTCATGCTGCTGCCCCAAACACAATAATGATGGAGACCCCATCTCACTTTCCCAGAGACACACAATCAAACCCCCCCACCTCTGTTTTTCCACATGCTGGCTTTTTACCCAGGGTTGCCAGGGTAACAGAGCCAAGGGGGGGTACAAAGCTTGTGACAGAGAAACAGAGAGTGAGACCGAGAGGTGGAGAAAGAGAAAAGGAGGGGGAAAGGTTGAACGAGAGGAGACGAGGGCTCTCCTTGGAGGTCAGAGGAGCTCAGTGAGGGGAGATGTATGATTCAGAAGGGAGGTGCTGGGTGTGGGGGATGCTGTTCCTTTCATAAAGCTTCACTGCAGCAGTCATAAACCCTCTCGCTCAGCCACTAACCACCCATCCCCCATACAATCTCTCTCTGTATGCCATGCTGCTGCTGTGTACCAGCTGTTCTCAGAGGTTCCACCTCAAATCATCCATTTGTAGCATGTCTTCACCACAGTCCCCATCCAAAGTGTTCCAGCACGAGCTGTGTCGACTAACGGGCCAAACATAAAAACATAAAACTGTGAGACGTTCCACAGATACAGATTGCTATCCTATCCTCTTGGTAATAGGCATCTGCATTAAAATACATTTACAGTCTCAGACCATACAGTACATATAACTTATCAAATCTAATTGATCAACGTGAACAGTGACTTTAAATATTTAAAGGAAATTGCACAGCGACAGTTGCAGAAACTGTTGATACTGTGTAGGATACATGAAGGATGAATGTTCAGCCAAGACTAGTTGACATGGTATTGCAGTCGTGCTGCAGACCTTTCTTCACTGGCAGTAATAGGTGTGAAATAGTGAAATGAATTTGTTAAACCGATTAAGCCTTACAACTGTGTTTTCTTTTTTGAGCCAACCTGAGATCAAATGTGTACAACTGTAACTACTCTGTTCTGCTCTGTCTCACTGAATCTTCATCATTATTAGGTGACTTTCTTTAAAATGGCTGTTAATGAAACCCACTGAGATTATAGGTCAAATATGACTTCATACAAAAAGTGATAAACTGTATATATTTAAGCATTTTCAATCTCTATTTCACACACGCACAAACTCAAATAGGCAATAGGAAAAAGGGAAAGGTTAGACAGTAAAGCAAAGGTTAAACCAAAGCTAAAAGCCATAGAAAGGTTAAGCAGAGTAACAGCAGGAATGTAGGTCACTGTCTGCTGGGGCTCAGACCACAAGTGTGCAACCAGTGAAGTGAGATAACACGACAAGAAGAATCCAATATATCACTTTATGCCAGAGGAGAAAATCATATCACATCACTGAAAGACCAAGTGCAATCAATGAGGAGTGATAATGATAAATATGCAGTAAAACACACTTAAACTGCGCACACAACATTCTCTCGTTATCACATAATGCAGCTGAGTTACATCTCACATATTTTATGGTCTATCTCTAATGTAAGAATGAAATTGCAGTTTAAATAAGTAGATCATAATCATAATATGCTGGTTTTATGAGTTCTACGAAAGGGATAAATGGATGGATGAATGATGGATACTTGATGAATCCTTTGGAGAAATGATGGTGCATTAGCAGCAAAACAAGTCAAAAATGATACAGGTTGTGTTACAGGACAGTGTAACATACGATACAGAAATTAGAAAAATTAACAAAATATGATATAGAAATACACAAAAATGTGCACAATAAACACAATACACAAAGCAATATTCTATACACAAATGCTTTTGCACTTCTCATTTTGTGTATTAGATATTAACAATAAATGCGCATCAAACGATAGTTTCGTTTGTGTCATTTCACAATTCTACAATAATAATTATTTAATAGTCCCATAACTGTCTAAACGTGATTATGTACACGGTAGTTTATAGAGGTAAAGAAAGACTTCCATTATAGCCTACACAAAAGTGTAGGCTATGTAGCCTGCATGTCGGCTATAGGCTATGTCTGTATGCTATAATCGGCTAATTATAAATGGAAAATACGGTTATTGTGGCTCAAAACTTGACTTCTTTCAAACAATAAACAATTTGAAAGACTGCAGGCTTTAAGACGAAATGTTCAGAAACTATTCTCGAAGTTAATGTCGAAACGTCAAATGTTTTTGTTTTTGCCACAATTCTAATAACGCACTTACCAGTTGAAAAGTGCAGAAGAACATCAACATGCACCTCCCCGAGCAGCAGCCCATCTTCACTATTCTCTCCGGTGTCAACGTCAGCTCTGAACGGTCAATAAAACAGTTGCATTTTGAAGATCCTCAGTATTTACTCGAGGTATTTTTCAGTAGGCTTCCCTTACAATGGGCTGTGATCAGAGCTGTACATCGCGCTAGGGTTAAAAACAGAGTATGATGAAGCAGTACGCGGGGGACAGAGGGTGAGACCGGGGTTGCGAGGTAAATAAAACGGGGTGGGACCCCATTAGAGCCACCACCTTCTGGTGCTTTGTTAAGAGGGAGCGGCAGGTGGAGCAATTGCGGCTGGAAGAGTTGGAAACTGATCAACATAATGCACCTTCATTTTAGTTCTGACCATTTACGCGACTATTAGTTTTAAATAGCCTACTCAGTTAATGCACCTATCTGCTTTGCTGCTTTAGGTGCTGAAACTTCTTGCTGAAAAACATCTTAAAACCACGACCGTCTCCTATTGTTTGGGGTATATTTTATGTTGCCTCCCAAAAAAACATCTGAGCACTTGCTGGGCAGACTGGAACCTATTTAGACCAGGTGAAACCAGGAAACTGTTTTAAAGCAGGGGGCAGCTAATAATGAAGTTGTGGCTTGTACATATAGCCTAAACTTTGCATTTGATTTATGCACATTTTTTCAGAGGCAAAAAGGAGAATGATTTACAGAGAAACCCAAACTTGTAGAGACTGTTTCCAATCCAATGGTCACCACCATAAGGAATGTTTGTATGCTGGTGCCATGCTACACCTTCTCAGTTTTGCTTGCATGAGAACAGCATGTCATGACTAAGCTGGTCCACCAGACCAGCACTGTAACAGCCAGCATAAACCAGCCTGGAGCAACATGAAATCCAAGTTTAGTTAATACTCCGGAAGGTTATGGTTTTCCAAGCTGCTCATTTTCGATCAATGTAAAGGAATGGTGGCTGTCAGGAAGAATTGTCAAGGTATAAGATTTTCAGTGAGTAATTACATTTCGGCCTGTTCCTCTAATTGTTATATGAGTTCAGAAGACTTATAATGGCATGTCATTTTCTTGATGCTATCCACTTACATTCAATGGACTTCTCATTTTGTGTTCCATGGAAAAATGTCGTATGGGTTTATACACTGTCAAAAAAGTTGCTGCCTTTTTTTAAGTAGCCTATCGATTTGGATGTTTAAGTTATTTCAACTTAAATTACATTATGACTTTGCAAGTTGAATTTTGTATACTTTAAAATGTTGTTAATGTAAAACAACACCAATGTAAAAATATAGGCCTATGTTGTAACTTATTGTTCATATAATTTTTTTACAGTGAAACAACGATGCCAGAATATCATTTTACTAACCTCAGCAAACTCAAATCTCAGAACATCCTGAAATGCACCATATAGTTATCTACACAATGGGGTCTGTGTGCATATTTTTGTGTTTAGACTTCGAAGAAGTTTAGCTTTAGAAGTTTTTTTCTTTTCTAGATTTATAAAGTAATTAAGATGTCAGCCCTGAGGTTGCATTTTTCATCATTTGGACACCCTACTAGACTAGCCCCTGCAGTGCCCAGCCATGTTTAGCACATATCACCCACCTTAACACAGCTGCCTGCTGCAGTGAGTATACTGTATGCTTACTGCACGCTCCATAGTCCCACAGATGGGTAATTAACAGCAGGGTGCAGGGGTTTAGTTTGTGCTGATAAACAAATTTACTATCTTTGGAGAGAGTGCTGTGTTAGATTGGTGGGTTGGAACCCAGAACATGTTTGTGAATCCCCTTTTGTGCCCATTAAATATATGTTTGGCTAGATTGTTATGCTGTAACATGAAGGTTGATTAAATGTTCCTAGTGCTAAATAAACTAACATTAAATGAACAATTTCTACAGCAAGAAGACACTGTGTACACTTTTAAATATAAAGGGTCATTTTTGGCATCAATGGCTGGATGAAGAACCGTTTACTTTCCATTTAGTAAAAGATTCTTAGAAAAAAATGTTCTTTTAGGAATGGTTCAGTGAAATGTTGGCAATGCAGAAATGATTATTCCATGGTATCATTGTGAAACCCCCCTTCTGGAACCTTTATTTATATGATTATTGTGTTGACTATTGACTATTGGTCAAGCTCAACCAGTCAACCCTGTTACCCAATTTATTGTAAAAATGTGCATTTATTTGTATAATTAATTTTACATTGTCATGCATAAAACAATGAGATTTTACTTAAAAAAACTGCTCATATGAAGTACTTTTAAAATGTCATGAATAATAGCGATTATTATGGTAATCACTATTCACTACATAGCCTACAGTACTTTCTGTACTTTTCAACCACTGGCTGTCATTCCCAGACTGGCCGCGTAGTGGCGCAAAACGCAAGCTCCAAATGCCAATGGAGTGGGCACCGCGCTGTCATATGGTACTGTCGCCGATTCTCGAGACAGGATTGAGGCTTGAGCTGGCTCAACGGAGGCAGTCGTGACTTGGTCTTCATATCACAACCGAACCTCGACTTGGAATAACCCAGCTGTGCGTTTACACCTTTCGTCTTGTGAGCGACGCGGCATGCAGCGCGGGAACAATGGGGCTGGTCAGAGGTTGCGCTGAGGACGCCAGATGCCATACCGCACATATGTCCTCCCTAACATACGAATCCAGGCTCAACGCAGGTTATTGATTATGCTTGCGGGGTCCGATCGGGAGCCAGACGTTTCAGCAGCAGCAGAGAGAGTGCAGCGAGGTGGATGCTGCGCGGCGACGCGCCCCCTGAATCCCTAAACTGAGTGAGTATCTTTAGCAGCATCTGTATACGGCTCTCGTCTCATTGGCATGCACTTCTGCCTACGTGCTGGCCATACAACGGAACCCTGTATTAAACGCATATCAGAATGTATAGCATGATAATTCGCTGTTGGAGGTTGGGGGAATACGCGTCCGGTTTACATGATATTAATGACTCGCATCATAAGTCAGCAGACACGTGTGCAACAGCTTCAGTGTAGCCGCATTACCCTTTGTGGTTCGACGCTTAATTAAACGGTTTATAAGCAGGTTGTGGTACACTCTCTCACTCGGCGGAAACCAGCAGTTCAGCACTGCTCGGTATCATATGTAATACCGTGAATTATGGAATCAATTAAGGGAGCAGCATCATTTATTTGTTTCCCCTCTATTAAAAGGGATTTCGACGGAAACCTCTTGCAGTCTGCTGTGGGAGCTGACCTGGCGGACGCACCTGCACTGCGCGTGCATTTCCACTTTGATCTTGTGAGATTATTTCCTGAGTGCATCAGTGATTGGCGGGACGATACCCTCGGGAGCAACGAATTACTCGTGCTGAATAAGAGGTCGACCGCTGCGGGCCATAACATATCATGTATTCGCGCTACATATGCGAGCCAGGAAAACAATGGTGTTGCACAGTATACTGGCATATACTTGACATATAGCCTACAGCACGTGTTTCAGTTAAAACAGCTCACGTTTTAAAGTTCATATGGGCAAATCGAATCAAAATAGTAGCCTACTTATCTTGCTAACCTGTTGTGTCTGAATAAACAGCAGCAGTAAAAGCTGACTGATCTCCTGTCTGCAAAAAAGGGTGCAGTAGGCTAGTTTAAAGTCCCCATTAAATCCAAATTGAAGTTTTTTTTGGCGTTTAGTATGTAGCCCTATATGTTTGCCTTACTGTTATCTATAAGCCAGTGTGCTCAAAATATGTTTAGATTTAGAATAGGCCTATATAAGCATTCAAAACTTAGTCTTCTGCCAATATGGATCAATGATGTTGCACTTCAGCTTCTCATCAGATTTTCTGTCCAATCAAATATAGAATCTAAAGCGTCCTGTCCCATATATCCATAGTATTTGCCCTACATTATAAAATTGGTAACTTGTTCTACCATTTGCTGTTTTCTACATGGTGAATGGCTCATTGTGCCAGTGGATTCAGACAGTGTGCTTTCCAATAAGGCATAGGATGAAACTGCAGCTTTACCAAGCTCAACGGCTCTGGCCGAGCTGTGATATAAACTAAATTCTATTGGTTTCTACTGTTCGAGATGTCCCTCCCAGTCCTCCTGTTTCAGTGGAAATACCTTCAACACGTGACATGAAATAATGCCATTTCAGTGGGACTTTAAGATGATGATGTGTAATTTGGGCACGAGACGAAGCTCAGTGTCTCAGACTTTAAACTAGTCTATTTTCAGTTTGTGGATGAATATTTTAGGTGAACAAATTGTTTCCCCTTACATTCATCCACTGACTCATTTTTTTAACACCAATTTTTTAGCATATATGACCCAATAGAGAGCGGCGTGTGAAGCGCTTCCAATACTGAACGAACTGCTCAGAGCAGCATCTCAACGAATATCTTCATGCGTGTCATTCTCTTTCTCGTTTCCGGAATCATTCAGTAATGAATGGGTCTTTCTAAAAAATTTGTTCAACAAATGTAGCTGTAGCATATTCGATGGCACCTACTGGGCTAACAATGTCATTTGCGGATAGGGCTACAGTTCGAATCTGAATGAATCTTTTTGTGAACGATTTAAAAGAATCATGTTTAAATTAATCAAATTGACAACAATAGTGTATAGGGAAAGCTTGCCAGATCAGACTGGTGATGTACCTGTCATCCATATAACAGATGAAGGTTCTGTGTCATGTATGTGAGTACGTTTGTGAGAGTGGCTACAATGAATGAGACTGTTGGGGCCCAACTAAACTTCCTGTTGATTGGTGGAGACTGAAACAGATATGATTTCCCTACCACATGACCGTGAGCATCAGAGAAAGCAAGCAGAATGTTCTGTTCTGTCCAATCAATGGAAAAAAAAAAATCCAACATTGGCTCACATGTGATGTCTGGTGTCAGGAGGGGTAAAGAACGGTGAAAATAAATGGCTGCACTTGCTTGGAAACCCAGGTTATAATATAAACTGTAAGTCTAATATACAGGTGATGCAGTGCATAGCAAAATTTAAATGATTTAAACTAGATTGACTCTGGCATTCAGAGTATTTTTAAACCCTAATAATTTCTCTCAGCTTCGTCAGCTGTGCCTGGTCTTTGTGACTAAACATGGTCATGACAGAGGAACCAGACCTGTCAACAAGACCCAACAAGCTGATCAAGAACGTTGAAGTCTTCTGTTTGGGAAACCTTTTACGTGAATCACATGCCTTGTTTTGTCACATCTGAAATGTGTTTCCTGAACATCTTGTTTAATCCTGAGGTGGCCTACTAGCTGAACAGAGTCTTACAATTTTGAGAGAGCCATCAGAGATTTGCTATAGGTCTGTTACGGTGTGATAAGGCCCTGCAGGCAGACATCCATTAAACTTGAGGCTCTGCTGAAGATACTGTGAACTGCAGAGGAGTTCCTTCTCAGTCTTATCGTGGAGCAGATCATAGCTCCTCACTGGAGGAAACATACAGCTTATAACTGTCCTTGAACATAAGAATTGTGCACATATTTGTATGTTTTTGTCTGGGTATTTTTAAGAGCATTTGAAATTTGATTGCTTGAAAATACAGGAAATCCAAATTTATTTGCCCCACATAGTTACATATTGAGTAGAGATTGGTGAATGTTTTCTTAGTTTGACAATGAAGGTCATGCGGAAGAGACCAGAATGATTCACAGCTACTAGCAAAACTACATCTCCCCAATCTCTTAGCGAGAGGTCAGAAGGTCCTTGTCTCCTCGAAACAAAGGTCACAAGGGCAGGAATCTCTGGTGACCTTAATATGTGCTATTTTCAGTCATTGTGTTTTTGTCTGTTTCAATTCAGCACTGCAGGCTGTTACCAGTAATTTGTTTACATTGTTTTTTTCCCTCTTTCATTTGACTAATTTGCTGAAGAGTTTTTTTTTTAAATGGCAGATTATATTTAATTAAATAAATAATTTCAATACAGTTATTATTTTAAAGCTGCTTCTGCTACTTTCTACAACTTTCAAATGTATTTGTTCTGATTTTCGTAAACAGTACGAACATTCATCATATGGTGTTAATGCTGATAACGGAAAATTATCAGCCTAAATTATTTATCTAAAACTGTTCAAAAATATGTATACTTTTTGTAATTTAATTGAAACTGAAATGATGAATCTACATTACATTTTCTGAATACAAAATCTGAGTGGTGTTTGCTAGTGCAAAAAGAATATAGAAAATCACATGAATATAGGTGTAGTGAGTGGTTCCCAGGGTGTTGCTATAATTCATTGTGAGTGTCTTGCAAAGAGATTGGACACTGTTCAACGTCAAAAGAGCTTACCTTCAAGTTTGCTCTTTATATATGGCTTCTTCAATGTGAATCAATTAGCGTATTTTCATCACATTCAGTTACAGTTAGCATTAGCTGTAAAAAGTAGCAGCAGTGCAGTTGTAACTAAGTTCCATCAATCATTTATACTTAGTTCTGTAATAAGTTATATCTTAAACAAAGTAGTTATGTAGGAGTTTGGCTTGAAGGATGTGTTTGTTTTAAACCCAAGACGGGTTTCAGAGGACACCCTGTTTTACTGCTTGTTTATGAATAAATCATTTACCATCCCTCATGCTAACATGCTGCTCAGAGAAGACTTAAGGGCCGTTCACATATGCAGAGATTTAAAACAAAGAAGAAGGAAGTAATTCATATTCAATGAGAGTTGATTTCTGATGACGTGAACATCAGCGACAGAAGTTGAGCGAATGCCTAAAACATGTTTTTAGTTCGTGTATTCATTTTTGTAGTTCCCATTTATATCCACTTATACTAATTCCTCCATTCTTTTTGCTGATGTAAAACGGACAGAAAGAGAAGGAAAAGAGTGAAAGGAGGAAAAAACGAGAGGGGGAGGAGGCGAGAGAGTCATGTCTCTTGGGTTTGGGGGGACGTGCCAGTTTCTCTCTGACTGAAATCTAGGGCTTCACAGTAATTAAAACATGCCATTCCCCAATCTCACTCTGTTTCTGTTTCTCTCTTTCTTCTTCCCTGTTCCATGTGCTCCTTACAAACAGACACAATCTTTCTCTTTATTTCTCTGGGGAAGTTGACTGAAAAAAAGAAGCTGGTGTCTGACATACAGATGGAGACCTGCCTTTATTACACAACCCAATTTAGTCTTCGTTAAAAGCAATGAGATTAATTTCATACACATGGAAAATAAATGAAAAACAGGAAAACTGAATAAAAAGGATTAATCATGTGATTGGGACCTGGAGTTCCTTGATTTTAGACATACTGAGGCTTCGCAGAACCTGTAAGCTGTTGTTGTTTGATATATGTGCAGTTGCAGACAATAACCACTAGGGAGCAGTAGTTTAAGCATTGAAAATGTTAGCATAGTTGGCCCCTGCTGGTAAACTATCTAGATTCAATTAGCATCTTTCGTAAGTTTGGAGTAATTTTTAAAACATAGGCTATATAATTTAAACTGTTAAATGTAAAATGTGGCAAATCTCAAAATGCATATCTACTTTTCATACTGCATCTTATAATGTTGTGTTGCCTAAATTTACTTGTAGAATTAAACATTATTGATTGCAGACTTAATTGCTGATGACTTGTTTCAGCAGATCTAGAATCTATTCTGTCTTTGGGAGATACGTTTATTTGTTTTGCACTTTGATGTAAACTATGCAGACCTTTTACATTCACAAACAGCTGCATTACACACTGCATGAAAGGTAATATTTGAAAAAGCATAATGGTGCACTTTAATATGTGTACATCCCTATTTAATTAAATAGGGGCCTGACTGGAATCTTTTACATATTTTAACACGT